TGACCCTTCCTCAGAATTGATGGTAGCTGAGAAACCATCGGTTTATATGCAGAAAATAGGGAGAGAGATGGGGGAGGGAGTAAACAATAGGATAGAGCCCAAAGAGAGAGAAGAGCATTTGGATAGACAAAGGAGTTGATAATGATCTGACTGGGAGGGTGAATAGCTGTTAAAGGGGACTGTTAGGGACTAATAACAGGTAGTGTGTACTGGCAGGCTGTGTGGTAACAAGGCCTGGTGTGTGGGGGAGGGTGCAAGGACATGGGAGAGATTAGGCCCTAAAATTATTGAACTCGATATTGAGCCTGGAGGGCTGTAGGGTCCCCAAGTGGAAAATGAGGTGTTGTTCCTCCAGCTTGCGTTGGGCTTCACTGCAGCAAGCCAGAGACAGAGATGTTGGCCAAGGAACAGGTTGGAGTGTTGAAGTGGCAGGCAACAGGGAGTTCAGGGTCTATTTGCGAGCAGAACATAGATGTTCTGCAAAGCGGTCACCCAGTCTACGCTTTGTTTCCCCGATGTAGAGGAGACCACATTGTGAGCAGTGTTTGCAGTAGACCAGATTCTGCGAAGTGCAGGTGGAGTGTTACTTCACCTGGAAGGTATGTTTGGGCCCTTGGATACTGGGGAGGGAGGAGGTAAATGGGCAGGTGTTGCAACTTCACTGGTTACAGAGGAAGGTGCTGTGGTGCTGGGGGTGGGGGGTGGGTGTATGGAGAGATGGGAGACCAGGCTGTACTGGAGGGAATGGTCCCTGCGGAAGGCGGACAAGGGAAGGGAGGGGAGTATGTGTCTGGTGGTGGCATCTCGCTGGAGGTGGCGGAAATGGCATCTGATGATGATTTTCTGGATGTCGATGCTGGTGGGATGGGGTTGGGGTATTGTTCAAAGATAATGGAGTTACAGTAGTCAGAGGGAAGGTGGCGGCCTAGTGGTATTATCACTAGCCTGTTGATCGTTCGGGTAATATTCTGTGGTTTGGGGTTCAAATCCCACTGTGCAGATGATGGAATTTGAATTCAATAGATCTGTACTGATATATTGAAGATATTCAGATATCTATATCTGAAAATAAGCATCTGGCAATGACCAGGAAACCATTGTCAGGCAAATTCCCACCTGATTCTCTATTACCCTTAAAGGAAGGAAACCTCTGTCCTTACCTGATCTGACTGATATGTGTCTCCAAAGCCATAACAATGCAATTGACCCTGAAACAGGGATGGGCATCAAATGCTGGCCTAGTAAGTGTCATCAACATCTTGTGAATGAATAAAAAAAAATTAATATCAATTGCTGATGAGCTTCAGTATCAACACTGCAGCCTATTAGTCTCTCACCATCATTATATTAGTATGGAGCTAGCACACAATGATGCAGGCAGCTACAATCAAAAGTGCACACTCGGGAACCCAGTCTCAGCACCAAGTTCCTGATTCTTCCAGGTTTCTTGTAAGACAATGGTCCTTCCATCAGTACTTGATTAGATTTTGTGGCAGTTCAGGAGATCTTCCCATGGGCCTGGTTCCAGACTATACTAGGAGGGTGGATCAACTGGTCCCAGGCAACTGCCTTAACAATACTGCACTCACTCCTGACCAATGGCTGCTGTTACATCAGGAGGAGAATCTGAAGATTTGGCACTGTCCCAAATATGTTTATAAGATCATTTTTGCCCTCCATCTGTCTCTCTCCCTCTCAGATCTTCGGATAATACACCTGAGGTCAGTTTTTGAATATACTCAAACTTTCAGTGCAGGCCTGTTTGATGCTGACGAGGATCGTGTGAACATCAGTTTTCTCTGGGAGTATTCTGTCCCCTGGCCAAAGTGTCAGGGAACTCTTCCCCAGGTCTTACTGCATTTCCCATGGGCCATTTGCCACCTGCCTACTTGACGAGAACTGCCCCTGTCTCCAAACACTTGTTAATATACTTCAGTGCAAAGAGCTGGTCAATTTACAATCTGTCAGCCACTTTGTTCAGCATTTCTACCCAAGATTTCAGGATTATCACTCAGTCTCTGTCTATTAATATGCTTCAAGATTGTTTCTTAGTTTACTTGTTGAGGGTTGAAGATCATCTGCCGGTCCTTACCAGATTGATAAAAGGGGTACACAGGTTGTCAAAAGTCTCTCTGTGATCAGTTCAGGAATGTCTGTAGAATCTAGGAACCTCAATGCAGGGAGTGCAATGTTTGTCTTCAACCTTGTCATAGTCCCTGAATACTTGGAATTGTTTATGTTTTTCCACACAGAGAGAGGCAGAGATTCAATGCTGTGCCCACTGATTCCTCAGGAGTTCTATGTTATTCGAAAAAGTACTACTCAATTAAAGCACTCTAATTCATAGAGACGCAGAAGTGCTGTGGTGCAGAAAGAGGCCATTTGGCCCATCATGTCTGCACTGCCTCTCTAAATGAGCATTATGATTTTGTGCTATTCTCCTATCTCCCTTGCATGTTGTTTCCATTAAAATAATCATGTAATGCTGTCTCGAAAGCCTCAGTTGATTCTGCCTCCATCATACTTCCAGGCAATGTGTTCCAGATCTGAACCATTCGTTCTAAGCTTGCATTTGCTTCTTTTGCAACTCAGTTTATATCTATACCCCACTCATTCTTGGTTTTTCTTTTGAGTGGGAAGAGATTCTCCCTATCTACTCCATTCAGCCCCTCATTATTTTGAATTTTTTCCTCTTAATGTTCTTCTATCCAAAAAGAACAGTCCCAAACTCTTCTATTTATTATCATAACTGAAGTTTCTCAACCATGGGACCATTGTTGTAAATGTCTTTTGCATTCTGTCTAATTAATTTATATCCTTCCTATAGTGTGTCTGCCCAGAACTGATACAAAGCTCTAGCTGAGGTGTAATGTCTGTCTTCATCAAGTCCAGCATCACCTCCTTGCTCATGTACTCTGTGACCCTGTAAATGAAGCCAAGAATACACTATATTTTATAAATTGCTCTCTCCACTTGTCCTTCAGTAATCTGTGCACATTTACAGCAAGGTCCCTCTGCACCTGCACTTCTCTCCTCGCAGTTGACGATTCTCCCAAGTTTTGTGTCATCCACATACTTTGAAATTGCCCTTTGCACACAAAAATCACAATCATTAGTCATGAATTACTGCTGCCTTTCCTGTTGCTCAGGTAACTTGCTGTCCACATCACTAGTCTTTTTTATTGCACGTCCTATAACTTTTCTTACTTTTATTTTTTGTTAATCTCTCCAAACTAGTTTTTAGCTAAACCTAGTTATTCCTGAAGCACTAATTTCCTTAATTTCTCAAATTTGCATCAAACACATATCAAAGGTCCCAGAATTATCTGATCGTTATTGACTTTCTTCAGCACTCCCTCTCTGCAGATCACCTTATTCAATCATATTTCTTATTCTTTGGATGAAGTGCTGTTAATTTCTCAACTATCAGTTTACAAGTACATGTAATTAAAACAAGAATATACAGGAACTTCACCTGTATCCATCTTGTTGCTCATTCCTATTGTGTATGATTTTCCCCTTCATCTGTCCTGAAGCAAGTCCATTTTACTTTATTTTACTCCCTCTCACCATTACTACGTTCATTGCCTTCATGTCAGTTTCTCTGCTCAGTGCATGACTCAGTGTTTTCCTGTTGTGCAGGTCACAATCTATAAAGTTACACAATATCCCAATATCGGACCACACTTTCTTTACTTTCAAATAATCTTATCAAAAGATCAAAGTGGTTCACTGTCTGATTTTCATTTATCCTCTCCTGCATGGTTGTGATGTCTCAGAGGGGGACAAGATTGTCCCTTTCAGTTCTCTTAGAAAGTTCATAGTCATGGATATAAATATGTCAATCCAAACATATAAACCTGTCATACTCATCCACAATTTGCATTCACAAGAAAGTATATCAATACAATATATTATCTCTTATTGAACTACAAGTTGAGTTGAGATATTCAAGTTTGCATGGGGTGCTGCATCCTTTCTCAATAACTTTATCCCCCTTACCCTCAACCACTTCCTCATATTGAGACCGTTCCTTGACAGTGAGTTGCTGAAAACTGGTATCTGCTCTTGTGGGAGCACAGCACGAGCTCATCCACTCAGCACGTCTGACTGAAGATGGATGCAAATGAGAACATAACAAGGAGCAGCAGTGAGCAACTCAGCCCCTCGAGCCTAACACTCAGTGTGGTCTCAACTCATGTTCCTGCCAGTTTCCCATACCCCATCAATCCACTACTGATTAAAAACCTGTCTGTATCCTCCTTAACTTCACTCAATGTCCCAGCATCTACTTCACTCTGGGGTAGTGAATTCCACACATTCATGATCAAATTGTCTGTTGTTCTGAAGTGTTTTCCTCCAGTTTCATTCAGGATGAGGCAGTGTGTACAGCCTCCTTTTCCTGTCGATTGCCATTCACAACTGGATATGGAAGGATTGTATGCACACACAGATCTCTCTGCTATTGCCCCCAGTCTATGATGTCCACATTTGTCTGATCAGAGTTGGCCCAAGTTACCAGAGAGATTCACTTCTCCATGAAACTTCTGGAGCAATCAAAGTCAGGATCCACTGATTGGGGAGGAGGAGCGGACAGGATCTTGAAGATTACTTGTTGACAGTCCTCTGCATTCCAGCTCCAAATTCGCAATGAGGGGCTGGAATCGTCCAAGGGCATTGTGTTCCAGTTAAAGCTCTCTTGTTGAAAACCAATGTCAGTTTTTCATTTTCACTCCTCTGGTAATCACCTAAATGATTATTTGTCAAATGTATTTCTGAAATCTAGGTACTCTACATCCACCACATTTTCGTCACTATGTCTGTCTCCTCCTCAAATAATGTTAACAGCTTTGACAAGTTGTATCTACCCTTTTGCAGATTCAGTGTTTAGTTTTTAATTATTAATTCTTGACAATTTTACCCTAAAGATATTCAAAATTGTTGTTCCCCACATCAGGAGGATGTGTCTTGAGACAAGGACTGAGGGCGGAGACAGGAAATAGAAAAATAAATTCATTTATTTTTGCGGCTTCAGCAAAGACAACATTACTGTCAAGGATTCCACATTGAAAAGGATAAATCAAATATCCTGAATAGATAAACCTAAATGGTCAGAAAATGCAAACTTCCACAAGATTTGGGGCTGACTGTGAAAGCAGATGGCCTTCAGTATGAGAACAAAAAGATAAATACAAAAAAGTTATAATTTTAAAAAATCTAGATGTAAGAAATGTGTGGGCCTTTAAATTCCATAAACACATCATCATTTGAAAAAACATCAGTGCTCTTTTCTGCTTTCCTTTACTATAAAAGCATTAAAAACAAATCAAAATAAAAATCTTATACTACTGAAATGTGAGAACTCTCAGAATTATAGACGTAAATCTAGAAGAAAGCCTGCAATCTCAACAGTAGCTGCAAGATCCACCTAGTGCGGGGGATCTGAAGAGTAGGGGCCATATTTTTTAAAGTGAGAGGAGAAAGAACTTAAAAAGACAAGAGGAGCAACTTTCTTACAAAGAGATTGGCTCGTGTGTGGAATGAACATTGAGAAGAAGTGGTGGATGTGGGTACAGTTACAACGTTTAAAAGACATTTGGATAAGTACGTGAATAAGAAATGTTTGGAGGGATATGGACCAGGTGCATATAAGTGCAGTCAGGTGGGACTAGTTTAGTTTGGGATTATGGACTGGTTGCACCAAAGGGTCTGTTTCAGTGCTGTATGACTCTATGATTCCAAGAACATCTCAGAACAATTTCTGAATCCAAGAGGGGGGCAGAAAACAGTGGAGCAATGAACCCAATGCATGAGGGCGGCAGACCATGACTTCCCTGCTTTAATGAAGCTTTGCACCAGAATGTTTATCAATTGATAGGAGTGTGAACAGGGGAAACAGCTCAAGTCAGAGGATCTGAGACTACAGCATGATGTGGGCAGGAGATGGATTCCTAATGTTTGTTTTCATTGGACAACAACCACAATAAGACAATGATGGGCTTCAATCAGTCTCCAGGCATAAAAAAGGCTTCACTCAGTTTTTAAGATGCAGGGATATTTGAACAGAGGTCTGGGACTATCCCACTGACGATGAGATCATGTGTATATGCTGAATTGACTGACAGAATAGTGCATGTAGCATGACCATTGGGTGTTATCCTGTGGAGATGAAGTTTCTGCTCAGGAAAAATTGGTCATATTGTCAAAATTTAAAAGTCGTTTCCTGAGATGTGGCCATTACCGGCAATGCCAGCATTTATTGTCCAGAGGGCAGCTAAGAGTTAACCAACTCTGCAGTAACATGTAGACCAGACCAGCTAAGGATGACAGATTTCTTTCCCTGAAGGGCATTAGTGAACCAGATGACTTTTTACAAAAATCAATAATATTTATATGGTCACATTAGACCTACTCTTAATTCCAAATTTGACTGAATTCCCATTTCACCCTCTGCCACAGAGGGATTTGAACCTGTGGCCCCACAACATTAACCTGGCATTCTGGATTATTAGGGTAGTGACCTTACCACTGTGCCACCACCTCCCCTGAATGCCACTCCCCCCTTATCACGTCAGACATTGTAGATTATTGACACAATTAACAATATGTAAAATTTCACTAATCTGGATCAACAATCAAATCACTCCTGAAATTGCGGTGGAATGAATTAGAAGATCAATCTCAGCAATGGGAATCTGGCTTTCCAGCGAGAACATGAGAGGCCACTGGGGAAGAGAAAAAGCTTGGTTACAGAGCATGGAAAACATAGCAGCGCATGTAGCATCTCCCATAAACACAAAAACGCCTTTCCTCAAACATCAGTAAAACCTTCAGACCCACTCCCTAAAGACCAGCAAAACCCACTGGGACTCAGGAAGATGAGGAGGCCAATTAGCCCCTCAATCCTGTTCCACTATTAAATGAAATCATGGATGGTCTATCACCTCAATCCATTTATCAGTCTTCCATCTGTCTCTTAATTTTGAGTTTTATAGATTTTAATTCACCAATTTTTATTTGGCATTAATTATCTTTTGAGGAAGAGAGTTACAACCATTTCCCACCCTGTGTGCATCAAAGTGTTTCCCAGTTTCACTGTCGATCGATCTATTTCTAATTACAATGTGACTCCAGACCAAGACTCCCTAACCAGTGGAAACAGTTCCCCTCTGTCTCATTTCCACTTCTCTTAATATTTGAAAACTTCCATCAAATCAGCCCGTAACCTTCTCCATTTCAGGGAACACAAACCTACTTTGTTTAATCTCTCTGTGTAATTTAACGCTCAAAGTCCAGAATTCATTCAGGTCCGTCTTCACTGCACTCCCTCCAAGATCCTAAATCTCCTCACAGTGTGGTCTCCTGAAATGCTCTGAGTTCTCCATCAGATCCAGATCCTACCCACCACACTGCATTCTGCACACACCCAGTGATTCAGAATACTGGGAGAGCAATGCTCAACTCCAGGAACCAACTACAGCGAGAACTCTCAGAATATCGACTCACTTAAGGAAGTCAAGCAGCTGACAGGAGGCCACATTCAGGATGAGATGTTTATGGACATTTCTACAGCCCAAACCCCACCTCTCAAAGATATCTCGAGGCTCAGACCTGACAGGGATAGCCATCCGCAGAAGGTCAGTCTGAAAGCTCAGTGTTGAACTGTATCAGCTGGTCTTTAGTATTCACACAGGGAGAGAGAGAGAGACACTGAGATCAGAGTGCACCCTCCAGATTGTACAGTTAACAGCAGCTCCAATATCCCAGTTACAGTGACCTGTTCCCAACATGGATCAACACCGTTCATACCTCAGGTATTGACCGAACTGGCTGAGGGTGTCCTTTCATCAGAAGCTATTAATGGAAAGAGAGACATAAGAAAACATTCATTATCAGACCAACAGGTAGAGTGAGCGAGAAAGCGTGTGAGAGAGTGAGAAACGAGGGCGACAGAGAAATGCAGGGACAGAGAAACGAGAGAGGAAGAAAGTGCACACGAAAGAGAGAAATGTGAGAGAAAGTGTGAAAGGGAGAGCATGATAAAGAGAAATGAAAGTGTGAAAACACGAGAAGGAAAAACAAGAGACACAGCACACGAGTGACAGAAATGAGAGAGAGAGAGAGAGAGAGAGAGATAAAGAACGAGACAGAAAAATAAAAGAAAGAGAGAGCACAAGAGAGACAGCACACAAGACCAAGAGGAAAATGAGAGACAGATAGACCAGTCCAAACCAGATAAAGAACGATAACAGAAATTGCTGAAGAAACTCAGAAGGTCTGGCAGCATCTGCAGAGAGAGAAAGCAGAGTTAATGCTTTGCGTCCACGGAACTCTCAACAGAACTCCCAGAATAAAAAGTCACTGGACTCAAAATGTTAACTGATTTTCTCTCTGCAAATGGTAGCAGACCTGTTGTGTTTTACCAGCAATTTCTGTTTTCTTTTCTGTTTCAAATCTCCATCATTTTCAGTTCTTTGAAACAGAAAGAACAGCTCCTTGTACACTAACACAGATGCCGAGATGTTTGAATTGTCAGCTTACAGTTTGTGGGACTGTAGTTGTTCTTCACTCCTCCTGTAAAACAAGGAATGTTCGGTGAGTGTTGAGAGACTGTCAGAAAATCAGAGGAAATGCTGGAGACCCTCACTCCCATCTAGACTCAGCCGCTCGTGCCCACATTGCCCTGAGCTGCTGATGCCCAACAGTGAACTGAGAGCCAAACACAATCTGAAATATCTGACTTTACAGTCACAATGTGAGACTCTGAACCCTGACACCCTCCACCTTACCCTGAGAAACAGGGCACCATCTCAGACCCTCCTTCACAAACTGAGGCCCTCTCCCCACAGCCTGAGCCATCACTAACCCCAAGACTGACTCCCATATACAGAAGTTCCTTGTCCACCCTCTCAACCCACTCAAACAATTGGAGATCATGAGATACTGGAGCAGAATTAGGCCATTAGGCCCATCGGGTCTGCTCCAACATTCAATCACGGCTGTTATGTTTCTCAGCCCCATTCTCCTGCCTTCTCTGCGTAACTCTTGATCCCCTTACCAATTAAAAACCTACCTATCTCTGTCTTAAAGACACTCAATGACTTGGCCTCCACAGCCTTCTGCAACAATGGATTTCCACAGAATCACCGCGGTCCGACTGAGGAAATTCCTCCTCAGTTCTAAAGGATTGTCCCTTCTCTCTGATAAGTTCCCTTGGGTCCTAGTCTCTCCTGTTAGGGGAAACATCTTCTCCACATCCACTCCATCCAGGCCTCTCAGTAATCTGTAAGTTTCAACACGATTCGCCCTCAATCTTCAAAACTTCATCAAATGCAGAACTACAGTCTTCAAGGTGCTCCTCATATGACATGCCCTTTATTCCAGGGATCATTCCTGTAAACCTATTCTGGACCCCTCCAACACCAGCACATCATTCCTTAGATATGGGGCCCAAAACTGCTCACAATATTCCCATTTCCTTCACCACTCTCTGGCCATCTCCTTTCAGGCTCTCCAACTGCCTGAACCCCCAGTCAGGTGCTGCCATTTCCTCACAAACCTTTCTTCCCGTAAATTTTGACAGCCCCAACAGCGAGAGCGATGATCCCGAGGACTCCAAGTACAATCCAAGTAACAAAAACCTGGGAGTGAGACTTTGTGTCTGTCAGAGGAAGAGAGAAATAAATCAGAGAGAATATGAGAAAAATTAAAAAGGGAGAGAGGGGTTTGTGTGAGAGAGAGAAGGGCAGATGGGGGGCAGACAGAGGAGGGACAGAGAGAGAGAGAGAGAGGTGGCGGGGACAGGGAGTGGAGAGAGAGAAACAGAGGGAGAGAAAGAGCAATAGAGGGAGGAGCGAGAGAGAGAGAGAGGTGGGTGAGACAGAAAGACGGGGGAGAGAGAGAGGGCAAGAAAGAAAAAAAATCTTCATTTTACAGCATACCTGGTACACAGTTTGCGCATTTGGTCCAATAAGTATATGCTCCTATTTAGTCACTTGAATCTCCTCCTCTCATACTTCCTCATCTAAATCTCTCACCATCACTCCCTACTCCTTTCTAGTTTCCCCTTAAATACATCTTGACAAGTCACGCTTCATATGGCAGCAAGCTTGACATTCTTCCTATTCTCTGACTGGAGAAGTTTGTTCTGAATTCCTTTTGGACTTTTTGGTGACTGTCTTGCATTGATAGTCTCGAGTTGTGCTCTTCCCCAAATACTCTCTCTGAACCCATTCTAACAAAATGTTTCATCTTTTTAACAATCTCTACAGATTCACCCCTCAGTCTCCATTATCCAAGGGAAGAGACCCAGCCCTGTTAATCTTTCCATGATATGTTCACTCACACATTTCTGATATTTACATTGTAAATCTTCTCTGCACCCTCTCCAGTACCTCAATATCCTTTATATCACATGGTGACCTAAACTGCCTACAGTACTCTGTATGTTGTCTAATGAAATGTCAAGACAGAACTAAAGGTCAGGTAGATTATGCTAATTCATAGAATCATGGAATCCCTACAGCATGCAAACAGGCCATTCGACCCAACAAGTCCACACCAACCCCACGAAGAACATCACACCCAGACTCAACCTTGCAACTCCCACGGCCAATCCACCCAACCTACACGTCCTTGGATACAATGGGCAACTTAGCACGGCCAATCCACCCTAACCTGCACATCTTTGGACTGTGGGAGGAAACCAGAGCACCCAGAGGAAAACCCACGCAGACACAGGGAGAATGTGCAAAATCTGCACAATCTCCCTTTAAAAAGTAAAGACTACCCTTGGCTTTGTTTTAAACAGCATTTCTAATCTGTGCCACAACATTTAAAAATTGGTGTGTTTGCACTCTGAGATGCCTTTGTTCCTCAACTTCATTTACCAAGCATTTGTTCATTTTCAAAGTTTGTTAATGACTTCCTGTAACATGCTGCAGTCCTCCTGAGTATTGACTACCTCCAATTTGAAGTCATCTGCAAATTTAGGAACTGTTTTTGATCACCAGAATCACTAACTAATGAAACGTAGCAGACTTGACCAAACTATCTGTGCATAAGGCTTCTCTCCTGTCTCCTATCACTAAGGATTGTCTAAAGCTCGTCTCTGCATTTTTTCAGAATATCTGGAAATGTCTCTCTCGTTCCCAGGACCATCTGGGATTCCTGCCTTGACTTATTGAGACTGTTTGGTGCTGCTGTCGATAATAAAGTGGAAATTTAATTCTAAAATTCTATTTAAATAAAACTGTGTTCAGGGTCATTGGGAGAAGGCAGGAGAATAGCACTGAGTCACAATGCTCACTCAGAGTCAGTGAGGGCATGATGAGCTGAAGAACATTCTTCATAACAATTCTGTGATTCCATGATTTTACAGTTCAAACCAATAGTTTAAATGATGAACAGCAGTGTTTCCTTGTGGAACACCACTTCCCACATACTGACACTCTGACTAACTATCGCTTATTCCCAATCTCTGTTTCCTGTCTTAAAGCCAGCTAGCAATCCATTTCACCACATTTCTACTGACTCCACATTCTCTAAACATTTTCATTGTAGGGGCATCTTACCAAAGGCCTTTGGAAAATCTGGATAAAATACATCTACAACATTACCACTGCAAACGCACTGTTACCTCATGAAAAAATGCAATGAATTTTGTCAAACAGTATTCCCTCTTGAAATTTATGCTGACTATTCATTACTAGACTTTGTTTCTAAATGTCCTTCTGTTTCCAATTTTAACTCAGTGTTAAATAGACTGGGCTATAATTCCAGGATACACTGGGTGTTGCCATACTGCAATATCTCAGGATAAATGGGGTCCTGTCAGACGTGATTATCCCATAATTCACTGGACTGACTTGAAACAAAATATCTCAGGATCTGTTTCTCTTCTTTTATTCACTCACAGGATGTGGGTGTCACTGTCTGGGCCAGCATTTATTTCCCATCCTTAGTTGCCTTTGAGATGGTCATGGTGAGCTGACTTCTTGAACTGCTGCAATCCATGTGCTGAAGGTCGATCCAGAACGTCATGAGGAAGGGAGTTCCAGGATTTTGACCCAGTGACAGTGAAGGAATGGCTCTGTATTTCCATCCAAATCAGGATGGTGAGTGGCCTGGAGGGGAACTTGCAGGTGCTGGTGTTCCCATGCAGCTACTGTCATAGAGTCATAGAGCATGGAAACTGACCCTTCGGTCTGACCAGTTCATGCCGAACATAATCCCAAACTAACGTATCCCCACCTGCCTGCTCCTGGCCCATATCCCTTCAAATCTTTCCTATTCATGTATCCATCCAAATGTTTTTTAAACGTTGTAATTGTAGCCAAATCCGCCACTTCCTCAGGAAGTTCATTCCACACGCGAATCACCTGTGTAAATAGCTTGCGTCATGTCTTTTTAAAATCTCTCTCCTCTCATCTTAAAAATATGCCCCCTAGTCATGAAGTTCCCCATCTTAGCGAAAAGACAACTACCATCAACTCTATCCATACCTCTCATTAATTTATAAAGTTCTATCAGGTCACCTCTCAACCTCCTACGATACAGTGAAAAAAAGTTCCAGCCTATCCAAAACTTGGAAGGTGCTAAGGAAAGTGGCAAATTGAGAGGATATAGTAGGCTCTGTCACACTATAATATCAGACAGTATACGGTACATTTCAATGCTGTAATATTCCTAGACATGTCCAGCACTGGAGTGGCAGTATACTCCAGACTACATTGGGTACCATGGTACTACAGTGTCACCAGATAAACTGGGTGACATTCTATTTCACATCCCTGAATATGATGCCAAGATGACCATTCTCTATAATTGGTACAAGTACTTTGACAGTTAATATTTTCCTTCTCTCTATCCTGGGCTGTCCTGGTGAAGCAGATCAGCACTGACCCTCCCTCCTGTGATCCTGGTCGGAGTCTGGTTCCTGTCTAACAGTGAGAAACAGTCTTACCATAAATCACCACCAGCTTCTCCTCCAGCCCACTGTGCTCCACCCGACAGGAATACTCGGCCTGATCCTCCGGATCAAACTCTATCCATTTCCGGATCTGGTAGGTCCTGTCATAATTGGGTAAGATCCCAGTGGACAGGGTCTCATCGATCAACACTCCATCCCTCCACAGAGTCACCTCGATGGCTTGAGGGTAAAACCCAGTGATGAGACAGGACAGCTGGTTAGAATCACCCAGACGGGTAAAGGACACAATGGGGGCAACTGAGGGAGAGAGGAACAGGAGTCAGTGCAGGAACATCAAGATAGAGAAAGGTCCAGGCACCATCCAATTGAACAAATCTCACCTCACCCACACCCCCTCCCCTCTTACACAGCTACCCCAAATCACTCACCCTGACTGCCTCAATCCCCGACATGCTCCCAGTAATGCAAACTGTGGGGTCTATTTATACATATTTATGCACAAATATTATTTATTGCCAGTTTGGGTTTCTGAGTTCGTTCGGTGGTGAGCTTCATGTATGCTTGCGAGTTTATTATTAACTTGAGAGTATTTTTGCAGCCATAGTGAATTCTTTTGAGAATAGGTTGAGACTTCACTTCAAATTAACTAAATTGTATTTACATTGGTAGAGTTTTATGACATAACTATATAAACAAGTTTTGCTGTAGAAGGACAGAAGAGGCTTTTTTTAAGATGAAGAGTCACACCCACAGATTAGAAACAGCAATTTTAGTTTTGTTTTTGAGCCATTCTCTGACATTCTTGGAATAGGATGGCTATGTAGACCAGGGTTCTGGAGGCGAGAAGAGTGTGTACTGAAATAGATTACCTTAGAGTGAAGAGTTCTTGTTCGAACCAGACCAGATGTGTTGGGATAAAGCCCTGAAAAGGTTGCTTAAAGCCGAGTATATTGAAGCTCAAGTGTATGACAGTTCCTTCCAAGAATTATCTGAGGTTCCATTCCAAAATTTAAATTCATAAATTACTTAAACCCACCGAGGTGTTAAATACAGGGATTCTGCTGAGTACTGTACAAATTCTGACTTGGGTACTGTACCAAGGGTGGGTTTCCAGTCCTATCCAAATGCTGGTTTGTTTCTTTCTATTTCTCGAAGGGATTAACGGGTTTATACTTTTCCTGTGTGTTTAATAATAATTGAATTTGTATGATAGGTGGATGATGTGTTTAACTCTATCTTGTTACACAACATTAAGAATTGGGAGATTAGACAAGCACAGTATTTAGTCCTTTTGAACTAACATATGGAAATGAGGTAAGAGGAGCACTTAAATTAAAGTTAATAAACTAAAGTTCAGAAACAACTCTTCATATCTACGTCACAAATTTATGAGACAGTCCGAAAGCTGAGTGGCACCATTTGAGTTAAAGAGTCTTAGAGTTGTACAGCACAGAAACAGACCCTTCGGTCTAACCCGTTCATGCTGCCCAGATATCCTACATTAATGTTGTCTCATTTGCCTCTATTTGGCCCATATCACTCTAAACCCTTCCTATTCATGTACCCATCCAGATGTCTTTTAAAGCTGACAAAAGAAAATCTGAATGAACCTCAACAGAAAGTACATTATCCATCAAAATAAGATCACTCAATCTTAGGATCCTGTCTAGGATCTGATTTGTCATGTAATAATATCAGATGCGATCAAATTAGGCTCTTGACTCACAGCGCTTCCCTCCCCATCCCCACTCACTTGCTGACTGACCCTCACTCCCTGCCTCGCTCACCAACTTCCAGTTCTTTCTGTCCATACTCCAGGTATTTCCTCAGCCACGTGCCACACTCCTCCTCCAGGTATTGCTTCCATTGCCGGTTGCCCAACACATCCTGGTCCCACCTGTTTTTGATGCTTTCTCCCCAGGGAACCGGGCTCACCCACACCATGTGCTCCCTGTCAAAGCTGAGGACATCTCGTCCATTCCAAGCGTACTGATTGAACCCAACCATTGCCACATCTCCCCTCAGGTCACAGCCGGTCATCATCTGGTACGTGTAGATCCCTGTCAATCAGAAACACAAGTTTCCAGTCAGAGACAGATAATCATCCCGGTTAATCAGAAAAGTGAACTGCCAACAGGGTTCATCTCCACTAGAAACTCTATCTGGAACTGATCAAGACAACATCAAATCACCACATGGCTTTCCCCAAATAACCCCTGAACCTGCAGAACATCAAGATATGAAGCAGGAAAAGAGACACAGTCGATAAAAATAAATTTTTTCCACTGGTTGGGAACTCTAGAACTAGGGGTGGGGCCAGACTGTCCTAACAGCGATGTTAGGAAGCATTTCTACACACAAAGGGTGGTAGATGTTTGGAACAATGGCAAAGGTTGCTGGGTCAGTTGTTAATTTCTAAATCTGCGACAGATACATTTTTGATAAACAAAGGTTTTAAGGGACATGGACCAAAGACAAGTATGTGGATTTAGGCCACAGATCAGCCATGGTTTCAATGAAAGGTGGAACACGCTGGAGGGGCTAAATGGCCTATTCCTGCTCCTAGGTTCCGAGTAAACCCCTGGAAAACTCGAGCAGTGGGGTGGCATGGACTCACCACTCGTCTGGTTGATCCGTTCCATGATCCTTGGAACAAAGGCTCTGAAATCCAGCTCCTGCAGCTGGGCAAGGTATAGTTTCCGCGCCCAGGCCTTACGTCCCTCGCTCTCCACCATCCACTGTTCCCGAGGAATCAACACCTTCCAATCGCTGTCGTACTTAATAAACTGGACCCCGTCCACATAACCAACAATGACAAACTGCGGGAAACCGGAAACTGGAGTCATAGCAGTCAGGAAATACCGGAGAGAGTGAGTTTCTGAAACATAGAGGGGAAATCCATTAGGGCATGCAGCTCAAAAGACCAGTCACATGTTTCCACTGACACCTCACTTTATACTCTACTCCTGTATTCAGGAGGTCAGGTTCCCACCTTCCTCTGTAACCACTTTCTGAACCAGCCCTGCCAGGCTCTTATTATTTTTACACTTATAGCACCAGGTCTCTACACAGACTTTGGAATATTACCCCTCTTTTGACTTCTGCATTCTTCCTACCAAAATGTATAAATTGGCATTTTTACACATTAAATTTGATTTGCCACTTGTTGGCCCTTTCTACCAACATTTCTGTGTCCTCTTGAAGTCTATCAGGATCCTCGTCATCATTTACAATGCTGCAAGATTTGTATTGTTTGCAAATTGTAGTATGTTGTCCGTACAAATCTGGATCATTAATATCCATCAGGAAAGCAATGTTACCATACAGCCGCTCTGAGGTTCCACACATACCAATCGTAATTCGTTGCTGCACACAGACCTCAGAATTCTGTGCACCAAACAAATCTTTGAGAGAATGTAGCAGGAAAGAGAGAGATTTGAATATTGACTCTTTGGGAGATTAGGATGCAATGATTGGGAGTGTGATGGAGGAAGATTCAAATTGAGACTTTCAATCAAATATTGGATAATTACTTGAAGAGATGGAAATTGCAGAGTAAAGGGCCAAAGACAGGAGAGTGGGACTGGCTGTGAGTTGTGAACCTGTGGAATTCTCTAAGACTCAAAACTGTTGGGGGCCAGTTTGCTGCATATGTTCAAGAGTGAGCTGGATGTGGATCGAGGGGTATGGAGAGAAAACGGGAATGGAGTCCTGAAATTGCACGATCAGCCAGGAACATCTTGAATTGTGGTGCAGGCTTGAAGGGCCAAATGGTCTGCTCATAGTCACAGTGTCATTGAGATATACAGCACAGAAACAGACCCTTCAGTCCAACTCATCCACGCCCACCAGATATCCTGTATAAATCTAGTCACATTTGTCAGCATTTGGTCCATATCCCGCTAAACCTTTCCTATTCATATACCCATCCAGATGTTTTTTAAATGCTGTAATTGTACCAGCCTCTACCACTTCCTCTGGCACCACCCTCTGCATTAAAAAGATGCCCCTTAGGTCCCTTTTAAATCTTTCCCCTCTCACCTTAAAGCTATATCCTCTCCTGCTCCTATTTTCTGTTTCGGTGTCTCACGTCATTAGATAGTGTTGGGAAACCGGTTGAAACTTCGTTTTGCTGTTATCTTGATATTTTTCTAATTATCTTCTATAATTGGATACCTTGGTTTTTTAAACAAATTATGTCATAAACTGCGATTCTGTTAAAGAAAATTCATAGCCTCTGTGAATGTCTCAGTGACAATCTAGATAAATTTCATTCTGAGAATTGAGTTGTGTCGAAGTAATATCATTTAGGATCATAACACCAGTTCAACGAAGAGTGCAGGAAGGCATGCCAGGAGCAGCACGTGGCAGACCTAAAAGTAAGCTGTCAATGTGGTGAAGCTACAACACAGGACTGTTGCATGTCAAACAGTGGTACCAACTAGCAATGGAGAAAATCAAGCAATACCACAATCAACAGGTCTGACATCCAGCTCTGTAATCGTGTTTCATCCAGTTGAGAGTGGTGGTGGACACAAGCAACTCACAACAGGATGAAGCTCCAGAAATATCCCCATGTTCAACGATGGGGTGGCCCAGCAGAAAGACAAAGCTGAAGCTGCTGTAAACACCTTCAGCCAGAAGGGTCAAGTGGATGATCCACTGTACTCTCCTCCTATGGTGTCCACATCACAGATTCCAATCTTCAGCCAATTCCATTCAGTCTTTGTGACATCAATAAATGACTGAAGACCCTGGATGCTGCAAAGGCTATGAATCCTGACAATATTCTCGTAATAGTACGAAAGACTTGTATTCCCAAATTACCTACATCTCTGCCAAGCTGTCCTAACACTGACATTGGCTCAGCAATGGCCAGGTATTGTCCTGTGCACAAAAGGCAGGATAAATCCAATACAAACAACTCCCATCACATCAGGCTACTCTTGGTCATCAGCAAAATGATTAATGGGGTTGCTGAGAGAGTTACCAAGGTCAGCAATAAATTGTTTAATAACATTTAGTTTGCTTTTCATTGAACCACAGCTTCTCATCTCATTACAGCCTCAGTCCAAACAAGGAAACAAAGACAAAAACAGCTGGACTCCACAGATGAGGTGAAAGTGGCAGCTCTTGAATTCAAGGCCACATTTGACCAAGTACGGCATCATACATTTGACCAAGCAAAACCACAGGCACTGGGAAATCATTAGAAATCTCTCCACTGGCTAAAGTCATAACTGGGACAAAGGAAGATGATGGTGGTTATTGGAGGTCAGTCAGCTCATCCCCAAGACATTACTGCAGAGTTTTCTCCAGACGCAACCTTTGGAACCAGGTTGACCTTGTTGACTACGAGATCATTGTTCGGAGTTGCTAAGCTGGGCCACTCAGGAAAACCCTGGCTGACTAATATAACCAGGAAATGAGGATCTCCTCAGTTCAGGGGACTGACTCCAAGCTGGCTGGCCACAGCCAGTGTACTGTGCACAAATAAATAAAGGGTGACTTCATGACGGGATACCAGCCTCTATGCAGTTATTTCACCCTCTTCTTGTGTTTCAATACTGATTTTCCTTCCATCATAAGGTCAGACACAAGATGTTGGGTGATAACTGCACAATATTCAGTACCCTTCACAACTCCGCAGATAATCAACATAAGAACATAAGAAACAGGAGCAGGAGTAGGCCATCTGGCCCCTTGAGCCTGCTCCTCCATTCAATAAGACCATGGCTGATTTTTTCGTGGACTCAGCTCCACTTACCCACACGCTCACCACTACCCTCAATTCCTTTACTGTTTAAAAATCTATTTTTGCCTTAAAAACATTCAATGAGGTAGCCTCAACTGCTTCATGGGGCAGGGAATTCCACAGATTCACAACCTTTTGGGTGAAGGAGTTCCTCCTCAAATCAGTCCTAAATCTGCTCTCACTTATTTTGAGGCTATGCTCCCTCGTTCAAACAGTGGAAACAACCTCCCTGCTTCTATCTGATCTATTCCCTTCATTATATTATACATTCCTATAAAGACGTCCCCCCTCATTCTTCTAAATTCCAATGAAGATAGTCCCAGACTACTCAATCTCTCGACATAAGCCAACCCTCTCAACTCCAGAATCAACCTTGTGAATCTCCTCTGTACCCCCTCCAGTGCCAGTCCATCCTTTCTCAAGTATGGAGACCACAACTATACACAGCACTCCAGGTGTGGCCTCACCAGCACTCTGTAAAGCTGCAGCATAACCTCCCCACTTTTGAACTCCATCCCTCTAGCAATGAAGGACAATATTCCATTTGCCTTCCTAATTACCCACTGCACCTGCAAACCAACACTTTGTGATTCATGCACAAGGACACCCAGCTCCCCCTGCACAGCAGTATGTTGCAACTTTTCATCACTTAAATAATATTCCATTTTGCTGTTATTCCTACCAAAATGGATGATCTCACAGTTATCAACATTGTACTCCATCTACCAGACCCATGCCCACTCACTTAACCGATCTATGTCCTTCTGCAGACTTTCAGTGTTCTCTGCACACCACTCATCTTAGTGTCATCTGCAAGCTTTGACACATTATGCTTCGATCCGAAAGTCTGAATCATCCATATTAAGCAGTCCATGTCCAAATTAAGAAAGACCTGGACAAGATTCAGGCTTGGGCTGATATGTGCCAAGCAACACCACACAATTCACAGGCAATGACCACCTCAAAACCCTCAACCAATATAGAGTCTAACCATCTGTCTTGACATTCAATGGCATTACCAATTCCACACTATCACCATGCTGGAGATTATCAGTGACCAAAAACTGAACCACATGAGCCACATAAAACTGCTTTCTGGCTGTTGCACTACAGGATCTTCTGTTACTTAATCTGTTCTGGCCATCACCTCTATCACATCTCTATCTTTGCTCCGCTGCTGCCTTAAAAGTTCGAACACCTCAGTCTCCCTTCAGTGTTGATGAAATATTTCTGCTGACTGGCCTTCTGAGTGTTTCCAGCTTCATTTTTATGGTCTCTTTGTGCTTTTCCAAACATTGCATTATACTTGTCAGCTGACTAGACCCTAACTAAATTCAGAAAGCTAAACTCAAAACAAGGAGTCCCACTGAGCTCCACCCATCTCCACAGCAATATCGCACATAATGGAATAGCCAAAAACAGTTTACTTTCTTCATTCATGGCATGTGGGCATCACTGTTTAGCGCAGCATTTTCTGCCCATCCCAAATTGCCCTTGAGAATGTGGTGGTGAGCTGTCATTTTTAACCACATCCGTTCATGGTCCCAGGTAAAAATATGTATTCACTACCTTGAATTTCAAAGCTTTTCTTAAAACTGTGAAACCTGATGAATAATATGTCTTTTTTGACTGCAATAGCTCCAAATATTGTATTCCAGCTCCAGTTGTATGTGCTGTGGTTGCAACGGTATATTTGGTTTTTTACTTCAATAGTACAATCAAGGTCACAACTAAGTTGCAATCTACAAAATGGTGATTCCCAAGCAAAGAGATAAAGAATACAGAGCTGAAATCTTCCTGACTGACCTCTTACACACTCAGTAAATAAGGTAAAGAATTGCGTATTATTTAAATATTCCACCACCATCAGATATGGAAACATTCTAATCAGTTCTGATTTATTAGTGTAGGAGAAATGCTCACAAACATGGATGTAGGAAATATACCTGTCCTATAAAGTGACCCGTACCCGCTTCCACCAAAGCGGCCCGTGTTTCAGAGACACAAAATGGCTAACGAGGGCTGAACAAAATAGGGCATTCTGCTCTAACATTTAAAGTAAAATATAATAGTACCTTGGAACAGAGCTACCCAAGGTTGTACAAAGGCCCTGCAAACTCTCAAGGGCCAACTATTCTAACAGTAACATGATCGAGTGTTAAAGTCATAGTACCTAGCCTAGCACTACCCCCCACATCCCATCACTGACTGACTGAGGACTAATGCCCCAGTAGCCAGCCTGGTACTGCCCCCCACATCCCATTACTGACTAACTGAGGACTAATGCCCCAGTAGCCAGCCTGGTACTGTTCCCCCCCAGCCCATTACCCACCTGCAGAGAGCTCTCCACACAAAAGCCCCAGCACTAACAGTCCGATCATTGTGCCTTCAGCTAACAGCCTGGGAGGAGAAATGGGTGAGAAATTATTTTCCAGCGGGATGTCTCAGTCTGCGAGCAGTGCCCTGGTCTCATCTCAAACCTTGTTCCGGTTCGCTCAGGCACCTTCACACTGATTGGATGAATGCTATGCTGGGGTATTCCGTGAGTCATCAGTCTCCAGCAGAATAGACTCCAGATAAGTTTGAAGAACTCCTCTCAGTATCGGAATGACCCAGCCAGACCGACACTTTCACTTCCAAGTTCAGTTGCCGGGAAATGACAATTATTCGATTGAGAAACATTTCCGGAAAGGACGAGGCCATTCAACCCTTCGGAGCTGCTAGATCGTCCAATGATCTGAACTCCAGTGTCATCTCCTTCAAAAGCCAAAGCACTAGACCCCAACTCTCCAGCCATCCCATCAGAATGTCAGGAGACATTTTCAGATGCATTGCTCAGAGAAGGGAAAAATGATGGCAAAATGAAAATGAAAAATTAGAGATGGACAATAAACGCTGCCTGGCCAATTATGTCCACATTCCATGGGCTTCCTGACACTCCCCCAACTCCTGACAAATGCGATAGCAACATTATCATCTGTGGTCCCTCGCAGGTGAGGTTGACTCTCTTCCACTCTCAGGGTGAGTCGGTAGGTAGCCGTACATGAGGAGCAGGTGATGGTCACAGGAACATGTGGATTGCGCATTAGTGTGGCAGCACACTCCTTTTGCTGTGTTCGCCTGGCTTCCATTTTATTCCTGATGGCAAGTCTCCAGGTGCCCCACGCCTTCCCGGATGCTCCTCCTCACTTAGGCCAGTGATTCCCAGGTCCCTGTGGGAATGCCGCACTTCCCCAGTGAGGCCTTGAGGGTGTCACTGGAGCGCCTCCCTCTGTCCACCTGGGGCTTGCCTGACATTTCGGAGCTGGGAGTAGAGCACCTGCTCAGGGAACCCCGTGTCAGTCACGTGGACGATGGGCCCAGCCCGTTGCAGCCGAGCAAGGGCGGTCAGTTCCTCGATGCTGGGGATGTTGGCCGGGTCGAGGGCCCTGGTGTCAGTGCGTCTTTCTTCCCAGCGGATTGGCAGGATCTCGCGCAGGCAACTTTGGTGGTACTGCTCCAGGGGCTTGAGGTGTCTGCTGTAGACAGTCCGTGTCTCAGAGCGATATAGGAGGGTGGGAACCCACCACAGCTCTGTAACCCATGACCTTGGTATTGGATCTAATGTTGTTGTTCTCAAATGCCCTCTTCCTCAGGCAGCCAAAGGCTGTGCTAGCACACTGTGGTGGGGCTGGATCTCTTCATCAATAACTGCTTTGGCCGACAGGACACTCCCGAGGTTTTGGAAGTGGTCAACATTCTCTAAGGCCTCCCCGCGGACCTTGATGATCGGGAAGTTGCTCCACCATGCCAGGCCAGGTGGATGAAGGCCCTTCATTTTGCGGATGTTCAGGGTGAGACCCATGCTCTCAAATGCCTCTGTAAAGTAGCTGACAATGGTCTGCAATACAATTGAAGCCACAGGACACACAGCAAATGCAATGGGTCCCGACAACATCCTGGAAGTAACATGCCCCTCGTCAGACTGTTCGAGTATAGCGATCGCATAGAGTTATAAAGTCATACAGCACGGAAACAGACCCTTCAGTTCAACTAGTCCCCGCCAACCATAGTTCCAAACTAAACAAATCCCAGCAACCTGCATTTCACCCATATGTCTCCAAACATTTCTTATCATGCACCTATCCAAATGTCTTTTAAGTGTTGTCACCACCACTTCCTGTGTAAGTTCATTTCGCACATGAACCACACTCTATGTAAAAAAATTGTCCTTCGTGTCTTTTTCAAATTTTTAAAAAGGTATCCCCTAGTCTTGAAATCACCCACTGCAGGGAAAAGACACCTGTATTCAACTTATCTACACGTCTCATGATTTTATAAGTCTCTATAAAGTCACCCCTCAACCTCCTATGCTCCAGTGAAAAATGTCCCAGCCTATCCAGCCTCTCCTTATAACACAAGTCCTCCATTCCTGGCCACATCCTGGTAAATCTCTTCGGAACTCTCTCCAGCTTAATAATATCCTTCCTATAACTTGGCAATCAGAAGTGGATACAGTACTCCAGAAGAGGCTTCACCAACATCCTGTACAACCTCAACATGATGCCCCAACTCTTAAACGCCTTCTTAACCATCCTGTCTGCATGTGATGCAAACTTCAAAGAATTATGTTCCTGAACCCGAAGGTCTCTCTGTTCTACAATACTATCCAAGGCCTTAATTGTAATTAATTTTAATTGTATAAGTCTGCCCTTGTTTGTTTTACCACAATGCAATACCTTGCATTTATAGAAATTAAACTCCATCTCCTATTCCTCAGCCCATTGACCCAATTGATCAATATCTGTTTGTCATCTTAGATAACCTTCCTCACCGTCCACTACGCCACCAATTTTATTGTCATCTGCAAACCTACTAACCATGCTTTCTAGTGATCTAACTTTACTAATTAGTCTACTGTGTGGAATCTTGTCAAAGGCTTTACTGAAGTAAACAAGGTCTACCACTCTGCCCTCATCAATCTTCTTGGTTACTTCCTCAAAAAATTCAATCAAGTTTGTGAGATGCAATTTTTCTCGCACAAAACCATGCTGACTATCTCTAATCGTTCCTTGCCTCTCCAAATGCATCTCAATTCTATCTTTCTGAATCACATCTAAAAATTTACCCATCACTGAAGTCAGATTCACAGGTCTATAGTTCCCAACCTTCTCCTTACATCCATTCTTAAACAAAGGCGCAACATTAGCCACTCTCCAGTCATCTGGCACCTCACCCGTATTATAGATGACACAAATATTTCTGCAAATATTTCCTCAATTTCCTCTCTACTTTCTCACCACATCCTGGGTTACATGAGATCAGTTCCCAGAGATTTATCCACCTGTGTATTTTCTAAGACTTCCTCTTCTGTAATATGAACCGATTTCAAGACATGCATCTTTATTTCCCCGAGTTCTCTAGCCTCCATTTCTTTCACCCTCCAAGCCTTTAAGACTATGTTATTCGCAGTCAATGTTTGGAAAATTAAAATTACCTGCTGCTACAAGCTTATTATTCTTACATATATCTGAGATCTCTCTACATATTTAATCCTCAATTTTTCTCTTACTATTGGATGGTCTATAGTATAATCCTATGAAGGTGGTCAAGTCTTTCTTATTTCTAACTTCAACCCATATGTTTACACTGGATGAATTTTCTGAAATATCTTCTCTGGTCACAGCAGTAATGTTTTCCTTAATCAAAAACGCCACAGTCCCCCATCTTTGGCCTCCCTTTCTATCCTTCCTATAGCATCTGAAACCCAGTACATTGAGCAGCAAATCCTGTCCATCCTTCAGCCAAGTTTTAGTAATAGCAAGGTGTCCCAGTCCCATGTTCCTAAACATGCCCTGAGTTCATCAGCCTTATCTGTAAGACCTCTTGCATTAAAATGCAGTCTAATTCTTCAGAGTTACTTTGTTGTCTGTCTTCCTCTTGTCTATCTTTTCAAATCAATTTGTTCTTTTCAGATTCAAAAACATCCTCATCTATCTTTCAATTTACTCTTCTAGTTAAGGTCCCTCCACACTCCCCTCAATGGTTTGCAGTCTACCCTAATAGAAGTAGCAAATTTTCCCACTGGGATGTTGACCCCTTTGCAGTACAGAGGTGAAACCCATCCTTTTTGAACAGGTCGGATCTGGCCCAGAAGAGATCTCAATGATCCAAGACACTGAATCCCTGAATGTTACACCACGTCTTCAGTGATTAATTTATCTCCGAGATCCTCTTACTCCTTCCCACATTCGAGCTGGGAACCAAAGATTACTGTTTTTGAAATGATAGGCTATATAGATGGCAGGGGTAACCTGGTCCACAGCTGTCTGAGCACACAACTACCTGCCTGGCCTGTCTCTCTTACCTCCCCTCCCTCACTGTTCTTTACCTTCTCAGACCTCACTCAACCTCTCCTGCTCACACAGCTCCGGGGACCAAGACCCAAGCACCATTCCTCCCATCCTCTGGCTGCCTCTGAACTGGGTCTTCCGGCACTCGGAATGGGGCCGAGCAGAAACTCCTACAAGCTGCCTGCCTGCCAGCTGTTGCACTCTCACTCCAGCCCAGTGTTTATACAATGCAATTTTATAACAAATTTTATAACATTAGTTTTATAACAACACCTCCAGCCCAGTGTTCAGATAACACACCTCCAATGTTGTTATAACAACACCCCTAGCCAATATGTTTATATAACACACCCCGCCCCAGTAATTTTATAAAAGCCAATCCAGCCCAGTGTTTATATAACACCCCCCACAGTAATGTCATAACAAACCCCCAGCCCAGTGTTTATATAATACACACAGCCCCCAGTAATTTTATAAAAAAACAACCCAGCCCAGTGTTTATATAACATTCTCCCCCACCACCTCCCCCCACCCCAGTAATTTGATTACAGTCCCTGGCCAGCTCAATGTTTATATAACACCCCTGGAACTTTATAACAAACCACCAGACCAGTGTGTTTATATAGCACCATTTCCACCAATATTAGAAACCTCCTGCAGCTCAGTGTTTATATAACAACTCCCCCAGACCAGTGTTTATATATCACCTCCCTCAGTAATTTTATTGCAATGGCCCCAACCTAGTGTTTATAGAAAACTCATTCCCCAGTAATTTTATAAAACTACCCCAGCCCAGTGTTTATGTAAATTTTATAACAATATAGTAATTTTATAACAATCCCCCAGCCAGGGGTTTATATAACACACACCACCCAAGTATTTTTATAACAAACCCTGCAGCCCAATGTTTATATAAAAATATAAAAATAACCCCCCCCAGGTCCAATGTTTATATAACCCCCTGAGTAATATTATTACAATCCCCCCAGCCCAGAGTCTATATAACACTCTACAGTACATTTGTAACAACCTCCCCCCTCAGCCCAATGTTAATTTAAAACACATTCCCCAGTACTTTTATAACAATCCTCCAGCCTTGTGTTTACATAGCACCCCTCCCATTAATATTATAAATCCCCTGAAGCTCAGTGTTTTGGTTACATCCCTCCCCCCCCCCAACCAAACCAGCTTTTTTTTTACCTTTATTCATTCATGGGATGAGGGTGTCACTGGCTAGGCAGCACTTATAGCCCACCCCTAAGTTTAGAGTCAATCTGTGGCAGGATTTGAACCAGG